AGAAATCAGCTGACACTCTTATGGGCGCTCTTTTGTAGGTAACTGTCTCCTTTCCTCTTGCTGCTTTTAAGATTCTCTCCTTATCTTTAATCTTGGGTAACTTGATTATTCATGTGCCTCAATATGTTCCTTCTTGGGTCCAGTTTCTTTGGGACTCTCTGAGCTTCCTGGACTTCCTGGACTTCCTGGGCTTCCTGGAAATCTATTACCTTCACCAGATTGGGGAAGTTCTCCTTCACTGTTTATTCAAATAAGTTTTCAATTTCTTGCTCTTGTTCTTCTCCTTCTGTCACCCTTATGATTCGGATGTTAGAGTACTTACATCCGAAGTTGTCCCATAGGTTCCTAAGTCTCTCCTCATTTTTTGAATTCTTATTTCTTCTTTCTGCTCCTGTCATGGTTGGATGTCTATTTCTTCCTTTTGTTCCAAATTATTGATTTGAATCCTGGTTTCCTTCCCTTCACTGTTGGTTCCCTGTGTATTTTGCTTTATTTCATTTTGGGTAGCCTTCATTTCTTCCTTCATTTTGCAATCAAGCTCAATAGTTCTGTGAGAATCCTGATTATTAGTGTTTTGAACTCTGCATCAGATAGGTTGTCTATCTCCTCATCACTGAGTTCCTTTTCTGGAGTTTTGATCTGTTCTTTCATTTGGGACATGTTTCTTTGTCTCAGTGCACCTGTTATGTTGTAAGGGGTGGAGCCTTAGGTATTCAGCAGGGTGGGGCAATGCTCTTTGCTGTGTTGCGGTACTGTATGTGGGTGAGGGGTCAGAGAGGAAATGATGCCCTCTATTGCTCAGCTCTAGCTCCACTTTCCAACAAACTCTCTCCTGTGAGACTGGGAGTTTCTCCCACATCACATTCACTGCAGTATTTTACTGCTAGTTTTGAGTCTTTAATTTCATGTCCAGCCAGCCCTGCCTCAACCAAGTGGTCTGCTGCTTTGCTGCACATCCTCTCTGCTCAGCTTTCCATCTCCCATTTCTGCCCCTCCTACTGGTCTGGGTGAAAGTTTTAACTACATCGTTGTCAGAATTCCATGCAGTTTGATTTTCCAGCACTTCCGGTTGTTTATTGTTTCAAATTGGTTGGTATCCTACTTTTGGCTGTGCAAGGAAGCAAAGCATTTCTGTCTATGCCTCCATGTTGGCTGGAACTCCCATTTTCATTTTCAATCAGGAACTTGTTCTACCAGAGATATTCATTGAAAATCTATGCCTGTCATTGAAAATCTGTGCCTGTCTGCTCAGTAGCAGAAAAAGAAGTGAGCAGAGTGGAAAGAATGTTTTCAAAACCTTAGCATGAGGAGTGACAAATCCATTAATAACTTATAAATACCTGACCATAGGAATTTAAACCTAGGATTACACTCATAATTAGCCAAAATGCAACTTCCTCAGTATAGTTCATTTACAGGACACAGAGACTTCAGATATTCTTTCATATGAATGAAGACTGTTCCTTAATTCTACCTTCAAGCTCTTAACAAAGAAAGGAAGAGAGGAAGGAAAAAGAAATTGACCTTTTAAAAGCCACTTTTCATTTCCAATATAACTTTTGGTTTCTTTTCTGTTAAGTACCCATTTTTTAAGTTGCTGATCTGAATCAAAGCACAGCACCCAGGCCTGGTGTGTGTGGTGACAAGCAACTCCAGGGATGGCCTCGTACTTCTTGCAGATTACACTCCATGCATGTCCCCCAGATTTATTCAACTTGAGCAACACTGTGAACAGCTTACTCCTCCCTGAATTTTTCACTGAGGTGCTCATACACCACTGCCTTTATCACCTGGAATTTCTACAATTTGTTTTTACTCCCCAAGTGCATTCTCTATACTTGGTCTTCATTGAAATTCATCTTACTTATATCCAAAAATCTCTGCAGTTTATCAAGGTAGCTCTGAATTCTAATGACAACTCTGTAGCTCTCAGACCTATCAGGGACCTTGGAGATAGCAAGTCTGACCAACTCCCTTATGCCACAGAAAAGGAAATTTGTCTCATTTTCATCATTTTTGAATATAATTTAGATTCTTGGAGTGAATGATTACAATTACTTTCTTCATTATCTGTCTCTTAGACACATGCAATATATAATAGAAATATTAACAGAAGCCTTTTGTTCAATGAGAAAGCAAGTAATTTTCTTTACATTTGGATATGCATTTTGACCTTGAAGGGAATAAACACCACATTTGGTTTTATAATGTTGCTGTGTGGTTTTCAATTAAGTATCTGTTATGTTCTAAAAACAGAAAAAACAGCCTATATCTAATTTAATATCTATAAATTTCCACAGATGACTGCAGAATATTGAGTAGTCTAGTGGATAAAGATTTGGCTGCATGTTTTCCAATTCATGACTTAAAATTGTGTTTTTACCACATATTTTATTAAAAATTTCCATTGACTTATTTTTTTCCAGCAAGTGTGATTATAAAATAATTCTCTCAGTTTCTGTAGGCATAAAGACATCTGATTTTTAAAAGTTTGTAGGTTAGGCAGCCAAGCTAGACAGAAATAGTTCAGCCACAGCTGAATAAAGGCAATAGTGTTATGATGGTTGTCAAAAGTCAAATTCATCACGACTAGTTTGATCTCAGTTTATAAAATGTACCATAGAAGATGGAAGTTTCTGAGGGTGGAGCCGAGACACCCCTTTCAGAGCAGTCATGAAATTTCTTTGATGTTTGTGAATGCTCACAAATGCAGCCTTGTTCTCCTTCTAACTAAGCCTGTGCCAGCGTGCCGAAGGGCACACCACGGAGTGCAGAGTTTAAGGAAAAGAACACAGAATTTAAACAAAAGACTGACTCCAATTTGAATCTATCTCTACCACTTCATGCGATAAGATCTTGGCCAAATTATTTAACAAATATAAAAATAGTATCTTCCATTCTAATGGCTGGGTAGATAGACATGAAAAAGACTCTTCCATTGCCCACAGTGAGCTCCATTGAGATAAGTTAAAAGGCTATAAGCAAATGTTGATACTGCAAAGGGGTAAAGAGCTAAAAGATGGAAGAACCAAATGCAGTAAGATTAACCACATGTGAGGGTTTAATTTAGGAAGGCTTTACAGAGAAAGGGACATTCGAGCTGAGTTTTGGAAAAGGTAGAAGTAATTAAAATCCCTGCGGTTTTCAATAACATCTTGAATATCATCTGTGAGGACTCTGATTCCCTAGAGAACTGTGTTGAAAAGGATTCTGAGGTTCCTCCCAGGATTAGTGGCCTAGTGGTTAATCCCAGAACTAGTCTATGGCAGTATCTCCAGGCAAGGTCTCAAGGAGAAGGTAGTCTTTTTCATTTTATGAAGTTCACCTGGACTTTGGCCTCAGTTTATTTACCCAGCATGCCAATTCTCCCAATACCCATGCATGCCTCCCCCAAACATGAGATCCTATTCTCTGTACTCCCAAATATTTGAAGGAGTCTTAATGTGAACCAGCTAACATACCAGAACATCAGTAATCATCTGGCTCTGGGTATTTTCTACCCTATTATTTCCTGCTCTAGCATCTGCCTGCCAGGTTAGCCCTCCATTGTACAGTGATTTCTGCCTTAATGGAGCCTGAAGCCCTGGCAAGTCTCAGATGCTGTCTGCAGAAGTGCTGCCTGCCGGACTGCTGCCTGCCCAGCAGGAGCTGATCCTTCAATCAGGTCCATTTCCCCACCCAATCCTCTGCTCCACCCAATCCACTGATTCTTTCCCTTCCCCACCCTTGATGTTGAGAATCCAGCAGGCCTTTCCCAAGCCAATCTGCAATATCACCAAATAAAATGCAGTCAGTCTCCCTGACTCTAGACCCAAATCTACATATAGGAAGAAAAATCACACTAATCCCTGTTTCTATCATGTTCTCCAGTGGAACACCAGGGTTAAGTGCTCTGGGAAACCCACAAAGCAAATCTAATTCCTCTTTCATATGATAGCCCTTCACATCTTGGACATAGCTACCATGCCCTCCATGAATCTCACTTTCAAGCACAAATTACAAGCACTGTAAAAACTCAAATGGTCATAAGTACAATTCATGCTGCTTAGCTCTCTACAGGCCTAAAGCACTCAGCAGTTCCTTTGTGATGCTCCCCAAAACTACTGCCCCAAATCAGCTTTCACCCCTGCAGAGTGCCCACCCCCACACCACACAAACCTGCCTCCACTGCCACCCATCCAGAGTGAAACCATTGCCTTTAATACCCATTCCTAGAGGGGAAGGCTGTTTTGTGTTTTGGCACCAGATATTTCCACAGCATGACTTCTGGTAGAAATTATTTCTGTGCAATTACCTCCATCACAGTCTCAGCTGGTTGGTCTCCTGGTGCAGACCTGTGCTCCTCTCAGTCTTTGATCTTCTATGTGTCATTGAGCTTTACTCAATAATTTTGTTCGTAGAATACTGGTCCACTTTTTTTTTTTATTTGACATTGGGAGATCTTCAGGCCTCTGTCTTCTGCTTTTTTCCCTACTTTTTTCCTCCAAAGGACTCATTTCTATTTTCCAGCACCCTTGAACCTCAACTTAAAGTTTCCCTTCTCTTTATCCCCACTTCCTCATCTCATCTGCTCTAGGCTAATTATTTTTCTTTTACAAACTAGCCCCATCCCAAGAGTCACAGATATACATGCAAGGTAACTGCCATTGCTTCTCACTGGTCATTACTTTTTATTACCTCCAGCCTGTTTTGATCAAAGAATGACCCCATTTTCAGGGAACACACTACAGGTTATATGAAAATCAAAGTTTGCTGCTGGCTGTATCAATGGTTTCCATTCTCCCCATCTCTGCTGGGAAGCCATGTTCCCACAGTGACTTGGGCGCCAGTGAGTGGGAAACAGCTACTGATAATGGTGTGGATAGAAACCAGTGGTCCACATTTACATGTCTTCACCTTCTTGTTGTCTTCTTTCTCTGGTTATAACTCAGCTGCTGGATGTAATCTCAGCGTGAGCATCTTCAAAAAACTTTCAAAATATTTGTCCAGCTCTCTTTCACATGGCTGCTGCTGCCATATCTCTAGGGATTCCTGAGAAATTCCAACATATTTTGTGAGTACCACACCAGTATCAATGGGTGGCAGAAAATAGCCCTTGACATCATGGCAGTTAAAAGTGCGGTGTTGAGGAAAGCAAACATCAACCTCACCAAGAGGACAGGAGAGTTCACTGAGGATGAGGTGGAATACATGACCACCATTATGCAGAATCTATGCCAGTACAAGATTCTAATCTGGTTCTTGAACAGACAGATGGACATGAAGAATGGACAATACAGCCAAGTTCTGGCCAGTGGTCTGGACAACAAGCTTTGTGAAGACCTGGAGCAGATGAAGAAAATTCAGGTCCACAGAGGGCTGCATCACTTCTGGGGTCTTTGTGTTCAAAGCCAGCACATCAAGTCCACAAGCCACCAGGGTGACACTGTAGATGTGACCAAGAAGAAATGATTGGCAAGCCTTTTCTGTTAATAAATAGTTCATAAACAAAAAATGTCCAAAGACCATTTCCTTATTCTGACACCTATTTGCAACCCCCACAATACATGATTTACTTCTCCAGCACTTTCCATTTTCCCCTTTTCCTTTAGAAGGTAGCTCCCAGAATTTAGACATGGTCATTTGAAAAGTATGTGGGCTTTGGAATTCAACATCAGTTCTAACCCTAACTCTGCTACTTACTAGATGTGTGGCTTTGGGAGAGTAATAAAGCCTCTTCGAACCTCAGTCTCCTCATCTATAAAATGAAGGTGGAGGGAATACCTCTTCTGCAGGGTTATTGTGAGACTTGCTTTAGCTAAGTACACCCATGAAATGTTAAAGATTTCACAAGTTGGTTTCCTTTCCCACTTCATTGAGAATAAGCAGCTCAAGAAACTGTATCGAAACAATGGCTTCCTAAATAGGAAAGGAGTACTAGGGAATGCTGGTCTTCATTCACAAATCTGAGCTTTCTCTTCTTAAAGTCCAGTCATAGTTAAAGATAACTTCGATGTGCTGCAAGCAAAAAAAAAAGTTCACAGGAGACTAGAGACTATGTCTGAGTTGCAAATTAACTACAAAGAAGGAAATCGAGACTCATTTTCAACCAGGTGAGGAAAATATGCTAATATTTGGATGACTGCGAGATGGACTAAAATGTCAAGGTGAAGCAAAAAGAAAAGGGAAACAACCTAAGAAGAGTGCTGTACAAGAGAAATTGTTTGCATTGCTTTCTCAAATTTGAAATCACCTTCTGAAATGTATTTTCGACAATTCTTCCCAGGAAGAGCCTCCCTTTTGTTGTTGTTGTTGTTTAAGTAGATTATATCACTTCGTGTGACTAATGTGTTTTTATAACACTGTTGGTTGCTATGGTAACCTGACTATATAGGATAAACACAGCAGGCGTCTTTTCCCTAGGTTGTTATACGACATCCAGCAGAATTTGGAATATTTCTCATTGTACTGCAAGCAGCACAGTGGTTGACTACTGCAGTGGTTGTTTTGTGTTTTCCTCTGCAGTATTCTTTTGCAGGATGGCTGAGAACAGGCTGAGTCACCTGAGATTCAGGGAGAGATAGAAAACACGGAGTCAACAGCAGGCCAGAAACCAAGGTAATGATCACACGGAGGCTTAACAGAGCATCTGAGATGGAGGTGGGAAGAAAAGCAGCCTGAAGAGAACAGCTCCTGGGAAGAAAGGTTCACAGTGGCACCTACTGCAGAGCCCTGATGTGAAAATTCCACAGACCTGGCCTTTCAGCATGGTTCAGATCCTGCCTCCTTCTGTGACCTTGGACAAGTTTCCTAATGTCTACAAGCCTCATTTTCTTCTAAAATTATTTCCAAGATTGCATCTCCAGTCCTAATTGTCTATGATGGTAGGATCCTGAGCTAAGTACTTTACTGTTTAAAGATTGAGATTGAATAAAGAAGACAATGTCCAACTCAATGAATAGCTAATAGTAGAATTTCACATAATAGTACAGGAAACATTAAGTTTACATAAAGTAGACCATCATCTAACGCTGTCTGAGAAATACTTGAGAAGTCCCTTATCTGAGGCCCTCTCTGTGATTTAAATCAGGAATCAATTATGGAAAAGAATGATCTCTCTAAATACATTTTGAAAAGTAGAAATGGCATCATACTGTCCATTGGAGCTCCTAATCTGTGTGTTTCTTAATGACTTCCAACCAAAGGCCAAGATCGTTACAGGTATAATCTTCAACATAGTAGGAGCTCATTCTAAGTAAGTGCTATATCATATACTGAAAGACCTATTCATTTTATTTAACAAACTTTATGGAATGTTCATTATGTGCTGCTTTCTTTGTTTGTTAGCACTTGCTGGAAGAAAGAGAAAGAGAGCCATAGTGAGCAAGAGAAGATAGTTGCATAAGCAGTGATTCTCAAAACTTGATGGGCCTAAGAAGCACTGAGAGTCAATGCTGGGAGAGCAAACTCCTGGCTCCATTGCCCAGAAGATTCTGATTCAGTGCATATAAAGTCAAGCACTTGAATCAGCATTTTTAGCAAGTTGATTCAGTTACAGGTGGTCGCTGGCCACACTGAGAAACATTTCACAAGACAATAACAGGATGTGGAGGTCAAGAATGAGAAACCTTGTGTGGAAACCAAATAGGCTGAGACTAAAATTGGTTAACCAAGAGCCACAGAGGGCTCAGTGGGCCAGACCTGCCAGCTGATAGGGCCACGGGTATCTTTTCCTTGCATTCATGAAACAGTCCATTTGGAAGCTACAGGGAAAAGCTCTATTAGCCATGGAACAGATCTAAATGGCTGCAAGAGGCACAGTTCACAACATTGAAGTTGCCATGGCAACTGCAATGGGTGGCAGAGTTGAGCTGAGAAATCTGTGAGTAAGAAAGAGGAGGTGAAGAACCTGTGCTAAAGAGACTGCTGTGTGATTTATCACATACTACTCTGTCTGTGGTAGCCACTTTATAACTCAAACAGCTGTGAAGAAATCAAAGGACAAAGACTGATTCTTCCAAGAATGGCTTACAGGTAATGGGATGATAGACAGCTAACTCATGGAGCATTATTTGCCCTTTTGGGTTTTTTCATTTTGTTCCCAGTATTTCTAATATTGGAGAAGCCACCTAATGCTGAATGAATCAATAAAAAGCAAGCTCAAACACAACACTCCAAAACAAGGAAAATAACAACTTCAGAAAACGACCACCACAGATTTTATTTAATTAAAAATATTATACATGTTGTTGCATTTTCATGGAAAATATTGAATTTAAAAACACCTACAGTGTTAGCTTTCAGAAACCTTAATGCACCCTGTTCTGCTACCTGCTTCTTTTTTCTGTTTGTGGTGTTAACCATGTATAAAGAACTGGGGCCCCATGTAACTAGAGCTTCCTTGGAGTTCACACCCATAGGACTGTAGGAATGAGCCAGTCTCTCCACAGTGGTGTTCTATCAAGTTAACTCAATTATCACAAACTTTGGTTTCTCTGCACACCATTAAAAGGAGCTGGCATAAAAGCCTAAAGCACATGTCAACACCAATTCAATCCAACATGTCTACAAGAATCTGCTATGACCTTATCCAGTTTCCAAGCCAGTTAGCAGGTGAGTTTATATTCTACCTGGTGTATTAGTGTCCTGAGCCCTTCACCCAACTTCCCCTGAACCCATGGTGGGAAGACACTGCCATATAGTGTTTATATTCAAACTATCAGCAAGTACACAAAAGCACATGTGGCTCCATGCACAATACTATCAAATAAAAAATACATATTGGTACAATACAACCCTTGGAATCACCGGCTAAAATATAGCCATGTGAGTATTTTTAAACTAGTCATTTAATTATACACTTGTTAAGAAATATAACACAGCATAAAAATTTAACTTGAAAACATCATTTCAGCTAGAAACTTCTCACATGTGAATACAAGGTGTGTACAATATCACCCTCACCCTTACTCCCTTCCTTTGCTTTTCCAGGACTATATCATCCCCTAACTTATTTCCTTGTTCCACATCATAATGCTGCATCTGCATACTGTTCCCAAGTGATGCTTTTACTAAAATTGGATCTGATGTGACAGAAACATCCTGGCTCTGTTTGTCTGCTCCTTTGCTTTAAACTGTAGTACACTTAATTTGGGTTCTGCATCCAGCTTTATGTCAAAGAGAGATTACTCTCCCCCAAAGTACACAGACAAATGAAAATAACTGGATAGCAAAAAGATAGAATTGCCTCTGCTCTTAGAAGTTGGAAAATGGTCTTCTTTATAGTCTCTCAATTGATGGGAATAAAATAAGGCTGAAATTGCTTTTCACATTCCGGCTCAGTTGGGGGCATTTTCACATAGACCCCTGTAGTAAGAGGGCTTCTTTTCTTTATCTGCCAGACACAAAAAAGAAACAGTAATTATTGAGGAATACAGAAGCCATCTCTAACCACAATAGGACTCAACAACTATTGGGTCCCTCCCCTATTGAAAATTGAGTGTTCAAATCACACACAATTATAAGCCCCAGGAAATTTTCTTGATTTAGCTATTAAAATTCAGTTTTGATAAATAACTCTGTGCTATAGATGTAAAATAGCAATAATTTCCCCTGACAGGAAGACAGAAGGAAGAGTCTTTGAGAAAGCTTCAGAAAAAAAAAACACCCCAAATGCTTATGGTAAGTGACTAGATGTTGTCTGTAGGAGGGATGAGGGTGATAGTAAACTTTAGTTATCCTGTTTGGGAGCTGTATTTTTCATCTCCACTCCTCATATACTCTTTGTCACTCTTCCTCTGTCCACATATCAGTTCCCAGTTTTTATCATCTCCATAAATTGAGGTCTGGCATACTAGTCTGTGTGGCAGTTTATAGCAAATGAGATGTGAATAAGCTACAGCAACAGAACAGGTTCTTAGGGTGGGGAAAGGGAAGCAGAGAGAGAGGAGGGCAGAGACAGAAAGAGAATTGGGGTGGGAGAGAAGGGAGAGACAGGGGAGAGGGAGCAAAGAGAGGGAGAAGTTTATGATAAAAACCAGTCTTTAGCAGAGTTGGCTGGAAAAGACTTTCAGAAGGAAATCTTAACAGGAGACCAAATCCCATACCTCCTCCTCTTCTGCCAACAGCTGTAATAAGTGAAAACTGAGGTTCTGTTTTACTGGATTGGAAAGGAGGTCAAAATTTCCCAGTCAAGCTGACTGGATAAAAGGGAGCCCTGAATAGGTATTTTGTGGATAATTACGGTGTAGACAAGGAAAACACTAATTGGGTAGCAATGAGAGGTGGCTTCCTGGTGAAGTAGAGAGACATTAGGGGAGAGAATAAAATCTACCCAGCTAGATGGTCTTCCCTAGCAGCATTTTTCCCAACCTAATCTTGAATTTCAGGGTTATTAACCTAAGCACAATTGTCACGAATAGAAAGAGCAAAACAGCTGCCCCATGTTGTTCAAACGGTTACTCAAACTGAAA